GCAAGTAGACCATTGGTCACAGAAACTACGCAGTAAATGTCAGTGTGGTGGTAGTATTATTACTGTTAGGATCATATGTAAACCTGTCCTAAGCTACATATGCATATCTTAGTTATTGATACCTACAATATTATACTTTAAAGGAAATTTTTACTCCACCCAGATAGTAACTTGACTTGGTATTGTATGCAAATGTTGATTAGGGATAAAAATTTGATAAAAAGAACTACCTTGGGATAGATGGATAGATAATCCCCATGTCTCAGAACTTCATATTCTGTCACTTACTCCTGTGTTTTCCTATCCATTCAGCTAGTCCTTATCAACTGGATCATGCTTTAGCTTTGCCTGTTTGGAAATGAATTAAGCCTTTGTAGTACCTTTATTTCCTTTCAGCTATTGTGCTTTCTCACATCCCTTGAAAAAGTACCAGAGAGTTCTACAGTCCCTTTCTTCTTATCTTCACTGCCACTCACTCTTTGACAAATTAGAACCTGGTTTCTGGTCCTGTGTCTCCACCCAAGCGGATGTCACAAGCGTCAGTACTAATTTCTGTGTTGCTAAATCCACTGAACATTTTCCTCCCACTAGACCTCTCGGCAAGAGTCAACATCTTTCTCTCACCTCTGTTTTAAACACTCTGAGTAAGACTGTTGTGAAGCCTAGTCTGGGTATTTCTCACACTTTCTATATATCCCTTCGGCCTTTCAGTGGGTTTATCTTCTTACCTGACGTTGACGGCTGGAGTTCTTCCATGCTCAGCTGTCTTCTCTTACCTGGAACTAGCTCCCTGGACAATGCAGAGTTGAGGCTGCAACTGTTAATGCTTCCCAGTTCTTTCTTTTTTCCTTTCTAAGCTAATACTGTATAACCCTTCACTGAATATATTGGTTATTGTTTTTACTGATTATTTTTTCAATAAAGAGATCATACCTAATTTACAATAAACAAATTTTAAGTAGATAAACTGAAACATTTTGAATTGATATATTTTTGTAGTTGAGACAGTTAA